GACTGCCACAGCCACCTGGGCTGGCAGACAAGGCCACCGCCCCACAGTCGAGCAGCATCTGAGCAAGTCACCGCCAACCAGTGGCAGCTAACGACTCTCCACTCAGGGCTGGGGCTGGGATTAAGTTGCAAAAGGCTTGAGATATTGGGGATGACAAAAGGGGCTTGGAGACTAATTAGGAGCAGCAATGAAAGCTTAATTCATAAAAGCAAACATTTTCCATCCATCAACCTGCAACCAGTTAAGGACAACGTTTGAAAGAAATCTGTGCATGGGGAAGGGAGCCAACAGGAACAGGAAATGTTTGAAAGAATGTAAACTATTTCAGTTTCATAAAAAGTAACAAGTAAACAGTTATTACATGCAAATAATGCCCTGGTTTTAATTAATGCTGAAAAGTCAAAATATGTTTGACATTTGTATGTATACATTGAACGGCTGAAGAGGAAAAAATGGTGCCCAGATGCCCACTTCTGAGCAGGGCTGGTGGCTCAGAGGGAACTAAAACCTTGAAAAGGTCTTGTTTATTGGTGATGAAAAGTACAATTCTGCCTCGGCCTCTGCTGAGACAGGGAGCAGAGGGAACTGAGCTTACTTTCTTAACGAAGCTGGATGGGCAGGCCAGGTGCTCGGGAAGGGCGCTCCCCAGTTTTCAAAAGGCTGGTCTTAAAGGGCTGGCGAGCCCTCAGTTCTCCACCTCCCCAGGGCAGGGTTTCTAGGATTTCTCCACTAAGAAGTGGTGATGGGTTTCAGGTCCTAGCAGCCCTTCCTACTCAACAGCCCCTGGAGGCAGCCACAGCCTGCGTCCTGGACCTGTGTCCCTTCATACTGGCCGAGGAGGTGGATCAGACAGGCATGTCAGCCTTGCTTCTGGGGTGAGAGATGGCAGCCTTCGAGCTGTGCTTTCCAGTATTTAGCATCCTGTACTGCACTCGCTTCTTTTCTAAACCACGTTAAGGCTCAAAGGGCTGGGGAAACTGTGGCTTTGGGAGACCACAGCTGGGGAGAGGCACCCTCGAAGTGTGGAGGAGAGTCTGCCCCAGTGGGGAGAGTGGCTGGGGTGCTTGGGTCCCGCAGACCAAGGATTTGTTCTAAACCACCTGCTGAAACACCAATAAGGCCCCCCTTGGAGCTTGTTGATCTTCCCCCAGCGTCTTTTGTGAGATCAGGACACTTAGGAAAGGGGAGGTATGGCAGGCTTCAGGGGTTTGTAAAGCCCAGAAACTGGGAGAAAATTGCCGCTTTTCCCCTCACTTCTTCAAAGGGGTCTGTAACACCCTAGGAGGTTCCAAGCCGCCGTTTTAGACAGAACTGTACATGGACCTATTTCTGCGGCTCCCACTGGGACCCCAAGGCCTCATTCTCAGCTTCCTAACCCCCAACCTTTGCTACAGCCAATGCTGGGCCGGCGCAGTCTCCCTTCCGCTCACTCACCTCGCCCACTGCGGCCCACGAAGCGAAGGTCATTGAACCTGGCCACCTGGTTCTTCATGACGGCGGAGGCATTGCGCAGCTCGGCAGAGTAGTTCTCGTCGTTGCCTGCCATCACGGTCACCACCGTTCCATCTGGCACATCCCCCAGTGCCACCACCTGAGGGCATGGGGCAGGGGGACAGCTTAGAAAGGAAGGGGCAGGCAAGGGAAAGGGGGGAGGGGCCGGGGCAGGCAGCTCCCTGAGGTCCCAGGCGCACTGCGGATTTCTCAAATGCTGGGTAGAGAAGAGGCTTAAGAGTAATAGAGACCTTCCCCCAACTGTAACAAAAGCAAAAAGATCTCTACCTTCCGCACCAAAACCCTAGATAAATCGGTTAAGCCATGTCCTGCAAAATCATCCTTTCGATTCAACTGAATCTAAGGGAGAGCTGGGAAGGCGCTCAGTCACTCTGATGCAGCGTGCAGTTTCCTTCTTCCCTTTGCTCGAGCAAAAGAGGAATCAACACTGCCTCTAGCAACCAAGTCTCTAAGCTAAAAAAAAAAAAAAAAAAAAAAAAAAAAAAA